ATCAGGATAATCAGATGAAGGTACAGAAGTTTCAGCGAATTCTCCATAAAGTATTGTATAATCTAGTGTTGAAACCCGATTAACATAAGAAGCGGCAGTTTCATAATCCTTCATATACAACGCCTGATGTATACCCGTGATACAAAGTTTTAATTCTTGTACATCTTCAACTTGTTTTATTGATTCTTGAACTCTGATTTGTTCTAAATCCAATTGTCGTACTTGTGCACTGATACGTTCCGCTACTGACGATGTACCGTTTATGATATTTAATAAATTTGCAGCTTGTGTATGTAAAGTACCTAATTGTGGCCTAAAATTAATTAGAAAATTAATTTAATCAAATAAAACAATTTTTTTTTTTTTAAAAAAAAAAAAAAAATTCCCAACCTTAAAACTTCTAATTTATCTAATTCAGATTCAAGTTTTGGCCTGCTCTCTAATAATTCATCTAAATTAAGATCGATTTGATTTTCTTCCAGGTCTAATAATCGAAGACATTCTTGTATATCTTCTATATTTGTTAAAGATTTTAGATAAGTTAATGAAAGTTCTGAAGGATTTGTAGCATTTTTCTGTGGCTTGGTTGTAACCGGCATTTCTTGAAAGTATTATAAGTAAATATATGTAAAATGAAAAAAAGAAATTACCAAAGATTTTGTTAGGAATTTATCTTTTTTTAAAAGAGTAAAAATTATGTTTACCATTATACTACAAAAGTTCCGATTTCTGAGATTTAAGTTCAACCAACCACAGATTATCGTTGAACCATTTTATAGATTTTCTAGCCAATCAAATTTATTCTAAAATTACCAAACGCGTACGTATAAGAAATGACAAAAAAGTACAATTTTTTTTATGGTTAGAAAAAACTTATAAAAACTTTAGTGCACTTACGCTTCGCATCATCTTTTTTTTTTTTTTTTTAATTTCAAGAATTTAATTTCTAATAATCGAATTAAAAGATTTGATTGTTCAAAAAGTTAAGGGTACGGGATTTTTTTTTCGAAGTAAAATAAATGAATGTAAAAAACTTTAATATAGAAAATATGTAACATGGATGAATACAACCAACCAATGATCGTTTTAGCTAGGTCTTTCAATGAAAAAATAATTCTATATGTAAATAGTCCTTCGTATGTTTTTAAAAGGTATGATATTAATGACACGAAATTAGTATCGATTGGTGTAAAGAATGCAATGCTAAATTATTTCAATTAAGTAGACCAAGAGAATAAACTCAGCTGAATGCTTATAGCGGAAGACAATTCCTTATTAAAAGAATGGTCTAGTTAGATAAATCAAAATAATTTAGATGAAGTATTTTTAATGATCGATAATCCGATGAGATATTTAAAAAGGTGATTTTAAATGATTTAAGAAGTCAGGTAAAAACTTTTTATTCCAAGCTCTTAGGAAATTATAATTCGCATGCTGCGATATTACTAAAAATTCAGAAAAGCGCTTGTGTTAATATTTTGACTTTAATAAATTAACATTTAATATTTGTTTACAGTATATACATTTTTATTTATAAAGCGAATTATAATGAGAACAAATAAATACATAAATCAATTAAATTAATTAATTTTACAATTATTTTTTATGTTGGAAGTATTTAATCGATCTTCCTGCATACAAAGTCAATTGCCTTCAATGTTTTTACAGCTAATATTCATGTATAATATTTATATATTTTATTTTATTTTATTTTTTTACATTGATGGCTATAAAAGGTTGTAAACAAGTTAATATCGAAAAGAAATACATGCTTTATGTATTAAAACTTTATATCATAAATGATCAAACGCTAGTCCAAAAAAGTTCATTAAGGCCAAAATATTTAGGAAAAAAAATTCACACCATTCATTAAATTAAAAAAAAGAATACTATCAAAATTCTTATAAAGCAACGAAGTCATGCTCAAATATAAAACACGAATAAAAACACGTCTAATGAATTTGCGCATTCACATGCTTCATTACATGTCGATACGCTTTACATCATGCGTAACCTTGGCGGAAATAAGGAACATTGCATCTTTGATAGAGATGATGATATAAATTTATTGAATTTTTATTTTTTATTTTAAAGTTTTAATTTTTTGAAAGCATTCATTTAGTTACAGTATATGTGAGGTTATGTCATGGTAAGAGCACCGCAAATATGAGCGTTACTAATCAGACTTGTACAATAGAAAACGATCACCCTCTACTGACGACGCGGAAGAAGTAAGGGGTATGGCTCCGATATTGGCTAAAGGCTTGACGGGAGAATTCATGAATCACTAGTGGTTGGCATGGATAAGGTTAGTTGATTTGATTATGAAATGTTCATCTTAGCCCAATATGCCATGCACCTGTTAGCAAATCAGAAAATCATTGCTCTATTATTTTGTGTCTCATTAACTTTCTGGCGATACACGAATAATCGATCATTTGTGCTATCGATCAGCTAAAGGGCCTTTGAGACCAAAAAATGGATTTTTATTCTTTTAATATCATGATTCTCAAACCGCAGCCATGCTTGGCCGAGTGTTGCATAATCTTGCAAGTTAAATGGAAGAATAATTTAGATGTTTAGAGAAGAATTAATGAATCTAATTACTTTAATAAAATTTTGATTGTTGAACATTCTTATCATTTATCATTATTATAATCAATTTCATTAACAAATTCATTTTAGGTCGAAAATTCTCTTTTTCATTAGCTCAAATTTCCTTTTCCACTTTCCTAATAATTTTATTGTTATAGAGTGAACTATCTCAAAATTGTGATAAACAAAGGCATTTAATTCCTATACTTGATTAGCTAAATCCGCTAAATTCCGAACGCCCAAAACCCTTACAAAGATGATTGTCTAACCTTTTCTTTGAGAAGTTTCGAAGATTTTGTGTAATAAATTAGGATCATAAAAGGAAACTGCAGCCAAGAACAATATCAACCCTTGCATTGTCCAATGAGATCGGTCGGTGTGATCCCTTTCGGTTTAGAAAATTCCCGAAAATTTTATATCATCATGGTTTTTTTTTTACAAAACAAAGTTTTTGTGAAATGAAAAATGGCGTGCAGTGCATGTTTTGTTTGATAATTCTTACAGTGGTGCCTCTCTTTTTTTGATCGTACGAAGGGCCGCAGCGATTGCCATCCCACCGAGCAAGAAGATTGTTAATTCTTTTTATGGATCATCTTTCTCGTTCTTTTTTTTCTTTCTTTTCTTTTTTTTTTTTTGAATTGTTCAAACATTCATAAGGTCACCACTTCACTCGTAAAATTTTCTTTTTTTTTGCATAAAAATCAAGTGTAAATAATGTAATTCACCGTTTGGTTCAAAAAAGTAAGTTTAATGACTAATAAGTGGTTCACATGAATATGTAATAATTTATCTCATGTTTCATTTTTAATAATTATTAAATTAAAAGAATTTTAATTTTACTTCTATCACTGACACGAAATTAATTTTAAATTTTTGCGTTACACGTCCATAAATAATAATAATAAACAATGATACTAAAAAAAAAAAAAAAATTCTTTCTTCTCGAAAAAAATTCCTTATCGCGTTTGTAACGAGAAAGAAGGAAAAAAAAAAAAAAAAAAAAAAAAAAAAAGGTCGAACCCTTTTTCCAAGCGAATTTTTATATTCACATTGAAAGGCTGCGCCAATGCAATCAAATAATCATAAAAAAGAAAGTTGAAATTAAATAAACGTGGTATGTGTTGGCAACTTTTCAAGATGTTTGAATGGGGTCATATTCAATTAAATATTTTTGATCATCAAATAATGACAAATTCAAACATAAACCACTCAGAACGTTCATCTGCCGTCGTGCATAACTGTAAATATTTGATTTTAAACTTCTAATGAAAGTAGTAAGTTTACACCGCGTCTCATCACATGACTTGTAATATAACTTTATTTCCTAATTGAAGTTTGTAAACAATACGGCACGATGACCATTTTGGAAGTTCACCTTGATTATCCTCCCAAAATTATTGAACAAACTACTGCAACCAATTAATCATACATAAAATGACCGACTTGAAGCGAACTTTTATGCGTTACATTTCATCTCGAGCGACAACTTATTTTTTTTTATTTTGTTTTTTTTAAAGGAAACAATCCATTCATTTTAATTGTGTAAAAAGGTACAAGCAAGGTTATACAAGAAACTAATATTTTTTTGCTCGTTCACTCCTTTTTTTTTTTTTTTTTCTTTTTTTTTTCCTTCTCTTTTTTTTTTCTGTCTTTCAACATTCTGTTTTCCCAATTTTTGAAAAGACAAATTACTTTCAATTTTCTACCCTTTTGAAAGTAAAGATATATATATATATATATATTATCTGAAAAGGTCTCATTTTATTTTATATTCCTTTAATTTAAAAATTTTTTTTTTTTTTTTTTTTTGGTTAGTTATGGAATAGATCAATTTACTTCAATTTTTTTCCTCGAAAAAAAAAAAAAAAAAAGAAATTCATTTATTCATTAAAATAAAAAAAAAAAAAAAAATACAAATACAAAGAAAAGTTTACTCTGACTTTATTTTTTGTTCCTTTTTTTTTTTTTTTTTTTTTTTTGTCTTACCCCCCCTTTTTTAACCTCGTCTTTCTTTTCCTCACTCCTCTCTTTTCACGCCTTCCTTTTCACGCCTTATTCCTCGCATACCATTATTACCGAATTTTAATTTTTATTATTCTAGGAATAATCAAAGCGTAAAGAATATCTAATATTTCTTTGGCGCATTAGTAAATATAAACAATACACGAAAAAAAAAAAATTATTGAAACGAACAACATTAATAATAGCATCTAATTTATTGCAAAAAGAAAGAAAAAAAAAAACGAATTCGACATTCAATTAATAATCATAAATAATCATTACATAATTCTGTCTCGAAAGCTAGTCTTAACGATACAGAAACATAATTGGAAAAAAAAAAGCTATAATAATAATAATAATAATTATTCTTAAATTATAATAACGTCGATATACATATAAAAAAAATGTCTAATCTTAAAAAACCACCTGCAAAACCTGTAAATGATTTGATAAAATTTTGGGCTCAACAACAAGAGAAAGAAAAGGCTGTTGCAGAAACGGTGTCAAAATCTCGTCCTTTATCTCCAAACACATCCACGCCTCCTTCTCCGAGAAGTGATTCTTACTTTCCACCTTTATCACCAAGGCAAAGGAGTTTTCGTAATACGCCTACAAGTTCTCCACCATTATCTCCAACCTTACACAAAACAATAACTGATTCTTCAAAAGTTATAATTACAAGTAGATCGATACAAAATTTAAGTGATGATAGTAATAATGAATCTCAAAAGTCAATAAGTGAGACGTTGGCTTCGTCTTTAAAAGATGTGGAATCATCAAAGTTTGACACGTTGACGAGTCACGTGACTCGTTCATTTTCAGCTGCTAATAATGACAGTTCCAAAAAATCCTTTTCACCCTCATCCTCTCTTAGGTCATTACCTGATACTTTCAAAGAAGAATTTGGAGTTCAATTGCGACCACGTGACGCCTTAAGCAAGGTAAAGGCAGCGAGCCAAATGGTTCAACGCGAATCTTTGCCACCAGTAAAAAATGTATCAAACCTCGTGTCCAGATTTGAAAAAGTGACTTCCCCGCCAGCGTCACCGACAACGGCGAATCCTACGACTAAAAAGGCATCATCAGAATCGTCATCACCAAAACCAATGTCTCCTATAAGACGAAATCAAACAATCGAGCCTTTGTCGATTTCGCAGCCATTATCTAACGCGATATCAAATACTTTGGTTTCGAACCTCAAACGAAGGGATACCGATGATAATCCGTTTGAAACGTATTCGACGTCGAAATCAACACTTCTAACTGAACCTTCTACAAAACAATCATCAACTTCCGAATTTCTATACAATCCGACCAAATCAGTTTCAAGGAAGAGCTCGATGAAACGGAGGTCAAACATTCCTGATCCTATTATAATTCCTTCACCAACAACCCCTACAAGAACATCTCAGTTATTTAATGATGACATTGTTAAAGTTCCAGAAAAGCAAGTTGTTGAAGAATCAAAGAAACTAACGTCACCTATTTCTTCGTCTGTAGTTTCTCCCATAAAATCAGACTCAGAACCAAAGTCCGAGCCATTGAAACCAAAAACCGAATCAGAACCAAAGACAGAAGAAATTAAAGCACCAAAATTCGGACCGTCTGAACAACTTTCGGTCGAAAATCTACCAAAAATTGCTCCAACTTCTCCATTTAATTTTGATCTTCCTGAACCTATTTTTGGAAAATCATCTATGGGCGAAGGATCGTTGATTTCGAGGCAGGAGCAGATTGAGACAAATTCATTCTTTTCTGTATCAACTTCATCTCCAAAACCACAGCAATCTATTTCGGAATCAAAATCGGTTTCAATTACACGTGAAAGGGAAATACCAAAGCCATCTGTTCCATCAAAGGAAACAACGATGGTTTCGGAAACAATTTCCGTTGTCTCACCAACCTCACCAATTTCGCCAAATGATGATTCACAAATTTCGTCCATCATTCCCTCATCAACTTTACAAATTCCGGAAGAATCATTACCACGAGTTTCACTTTCATCACCATCTGGTCAGGAAACCGCGGTGGAAACCATTTCTGAAATCATGTCATCACCTACTGCACAATCTCTAAATCCAACCTCCCCTGCTGATTCAACGCTTGCATCCCCGGAAATTGTGCCTTCGAATGCGAATTTTTTGTTGGGATTTCTACCTGAGATCACACCAATTTCACCCTTTTGGAATCCAGTTGCAGCAGACTCTAAAGCGGGCAGTAATGCTGTTTCACCACTCTGGAAACCTTTTCCAGAAAATCAGAGCAAGCCTATTTCACCAATTCTGTCACCAAAGACAGATAATTCTCTAAGTCAGATTGCTTCAACTTTCGAGAATGAGATTAATAATATTAATAATAATAATAAGGGAGTTAATGATGATGCAAATAAAAATTCTTTGCCTAATAATGACAACCAAGTTCCTGATCTATGGTTCAAAAGATCTTCTTCAAACTTTTTAAATATCCCGGAACTTTCTTCACAACCTGTAGATTCCCAACTTACCATGCAGGAACCTATACCAAGACCACTCAAAGAAAGTCCCTTGGACCGATCTGCCAATTCTTATATTTTCTCATTCATGTCAGATGACACTGATTCTTGGAAATTCTTTGTCGAATCACCTAATGCTTCTTCAGTGAATTTGAAATTGAATGTAAACCCATTTGCTTCATATTTGGACAATGTTAAGAAGGATAATGATGCTACAGATGTGGAAAGTGATGAAGATCAAAAATATAATCCATTTGTTGATAAAAAACAATCTGAAAAGAAAAATAAACATATCTCAAAGGATAAGATCACACATTCGCATGCCATTGAGTTGCAAGAAACAAGCATAGCACATTCACGTTCTACAACTAAAATTGATGATGAAAATGATGAAAATGATCCAACGGAAATTAAACCCAACAGCCGTAAATTGACTATCTTGGATAATTTTGGAAATTTTTTAAATCAAAAAAAAAACTCAGATGGTGATGAAATATCGTCAACGCCTCAGGCTGATGATACTCAGTCATGTAGAATTTCACATCAATCACTTAAAAACAATAAAAGGAGTGAACAACGAAGCAGAAATGTTAATGTTGATGCATTAAGAAAGCCAAGGTCTATACAAAGTTTAGATTCAGTCTCTAAATCTAAGGAAAGACGTCATTATAGCCAACATAAATATAGACCTGTACAAATACCAAAGTCTCCTTATTCAACGATACATCCTCAAAGACATACACTCTCTCCCGCATTTATTCTCAAGGAAAAGAAAAATATATTAAAGTCCGTGTCGATAAATAATTATAATCATAATTTACCAGATTATAATGCAACAAAGGAGAATATTTCAATGTTGGTTCCACATAGTATCTCTGCGATTGAATATGGAAAGGTTAATCATTCTCTTCCAGATTTAGCTATACGTGATCGTCATCATCAATTTAACGAAACATTTTATAAGAATAATATGACCGTGCCGGATTTTACACGAGTTAGTTCTATCACAGAAAATGGCAAGGAAAATGTACAAGAGACTAGCACTATGGATATTTCAGTTGAAAATATAATTGAACCAGTTGATCCCACTGTACCTTCATCTTCCACAAGAATTACTAGATTAACCATCAATCCATTTGATGAATTTGAAAAGAATGAACACTTCTTACCCACAACTCCTTGGATAAAATTACCACATCTCGATGAGTATATTGAATCATTGCCAAAGACTGGATTCTCAAATCCAAAAGAAATCATGACTTCCGAAGAATATGGTAAATTCTTAGCGCAAGGAAATAACCAAAAATTTGCTGAATATTTATTCCCTATCATTAGCCAGCCCACAAATGATCAGAGCGATACGGAATCTATAAGCCAAGGGAAAGGAAATGATGATAACAACAATGGACCTACCGAAAGAGGAATTGTCGGATCTTCGCCTTCTCCTTCTTCAGAAAAATACCAAGAAGCAGTTTCAATAGTATACGAACAAAGATTTTCGAAATTGGAGATAATGAGAGATTTCATACAATTCATGTCATTAGCCTTATCATTTGTTACGCAAGGAATGTTTAGTCGCAATTGGATTTATATAATGTTATCCTCAGTTCCTGATTTTTTAAGTCTCAAAATGGACAAAGTATTTGGATTTGGAGCTATTTTCTTTTTGTTATTTTTCGTCATTGGATTTTGTAACTTATTTTTGTTCAGAAAGATTGCTAAATGGAAGAAAGCTACTGATGTTGAGGTATTTAAATTTTTTTTATTTTGCTTAATCCTTCTCTATTTCATATTGTAAAGTATTTACGTAATAATATATTTCTTAGGATATTGGATCATCTCGTACATCGTCATGTTTACTTAAAAATCACATAACCATGTTTGTTCTTACCACAATATACGTCCCAATAACGAAATTATCATTGGATGCAGTGGTCTGGGCTGCACCATTCTGGCCAGTGGCAAATCCTTACCTGCCAAATGTAGATAATCCGGATTTTGATTCAATGGTTGAAGGAGGAAATGAGGCGTTACGTTATCCAAAAGATTTTTGTTATGTTACAAGTATGAGCAAGGATGGATTGAACTTTTCACCTTTTATCATTGCCTTGGCATTATTAAATTTGGGTGCGATCAGTTTTTGGTTCCCAATTACGTTAAAGAAAATCGTGGATAGACAGATGGGAAGATTTGGTTTTACATCAAGCAAAGGAACGAAAGGAAAAGAAGCCATTGAAGATGAAGATAATTATCCCCACAAATTTTTATTTAATGGTAAGTGAGTTCTTGATATTCATTTACTTTACCCAAGTTGAACATAATTTAATTTCTTTCATTTAATTATTTTTTAGGATATAATGATAATTGGGGAACTTATAAATCATTTATTATGGCGATGAAATTCTCCCTTATTTTCTTGGTGGTTGTCGTTTCCAAAGATAACTGTCTATTTAGATCCTCAACAACGCGACTTCAAATTTCCACCATCGCTCAAGTAATACAAATCTTATTCTTCGTGTTACTATTCATTTCACATTGGAAGGGTGAACCATTCCTCTATTCAAATTTTAATACCGCAGAATATTGGGCTAGATTTGCGTATCTGATGACAAGCGTTATCGGTCTTCTCATGATATTGAACATAGGACCTGTAGATGGATTAGGCATTGGATTAATTATAGTTAATGTTACAATTGTGATAATCATTACTTGTTATTTAATGAAAAGGATTAATGATTTTAGTTTGAGATATATGGGAGGTGGTGGTGCATATGGTGTAAGTAGAAGTATAGGAGGAAATAGAGGAAGCCTTGGAAAAAAGAAATTAGAATTTTCATTGAATATTTCTTCACCGGATTTAGATTTTGATAGGTTGATAAAAGAAAGGATTTGGCAAGATACTTGGACAAAATTACTTTTAACTAATGAGAAATTCAAACCTCCAGCACTTTCTGCAGGAAAATCATTATTATTTAGTGAAGCGAGTTATCGAGCACCATATTTATTAAATTTCTTTGGAAGCGTAGGAGAGAGGCATATTGAAAACTGTAAAATAGTGTCGACAATAGGTTTACAAAGTTATGTCAAAGCCTTAGCACCTTTACCGTCGTCCATGGTCAACCTAAAATCAAAAATTTTGAATAATTATGTTGGAGTTGATATGTACTATGCTGAGGAGTTTTTAGATGTTAGTAAGAAGACAGGTTTTGGAAAAGCCTATGTTGTACCTTTCCCATTTTGTGTCGTAATGTGTTATGATGAAGATGACAATATTCTAGTATTGAAGCAAGAATGGGAACTTCAGAGATACTTACAACAGAATGAGAGCAAAGAAATCCAACGAAGAAGGTTAGTTAGACAAATGCTTAGAGCTTTGGAAGGAAAGAATATCATTGGACCTTGTTATGAAAACGTAGATTATTTGAAAGAAAAGGTTGGTAATACTTTGTTCATATATGAAAATTTTGAAATAACGACTTACTAATTTTCAACTCTTTAAATATTTCTAATAGGTTCATTATCATCGAGGTATTCTGTCAATTCAAAGAAAGCATGGATCTCTTTGGAACGGTCATGATTTAAATCCAGGATTCAAAGTTACAATTACATATTCAGAACCTGGACCCAAAGAAAGTAAATGCCCTCATATAGTTACACAAGAAGTGATTGGTATAACCGAGGACTTTCAAATGACAAATCAACTTGAAAAATTATTCGGAGATAATTACAAATTAGTTGAAATGGGACTTGATCAGATTCAGACAACAATGAATGACTACCGACAATATTACCGAGATGAATCCAGATCAAAGGAAGAATCATTGACATATGGATTCCATATTAATATATTTAATAATCCTTCAATACCTTTGGAAGCACTTCCGTCAGTATTACTCACCACAGAAGAAAATCAGCATGTTCAATCAATACCTGAACACGAATATCCAACAATAGTTTATTTATATGAACGTATGAGAATAGTTCATACATCTCGAGTGCATCAGTGGTGGTATTTATTCTGGGAAGATTTATGGAACAAGAACGGAGAACTAATTCCATCTTTACAGAAATACGAACAAGATTTTTCACCATTATATCGAACGAGTATATGTTACCAACCAATGAAACGATTGGATTTAGAAGAATTCTTGGAGAAAAGAGGGTTATGGATAGGGAATGGAAAACTCGGACTATTTCATTCAGGCTTATTAAATAGAATTTATTTATATTTAAATAAGGTTGTTTATGAGACAAAAGATAAAGATGGAACACGTAAAAAATGGCGTATTTCAAAAGAAAAGAAAATACAAGATGATGATGATTCATCAAAAGGAAGAGGTCAAAGAATGACTATTATTGGTAAAGTTGGTAGCGTTTTTATGGGAATAAATAGAAATTCGCAAAATACCAAAAGACCTTATTACGTCATGAAAGAAGAGGAAAATGATTCCGATCTGGAGGATATTGAAATTGATATTGATGATAACATTAGTGACAGTGCAACGTTATAATGATTTAATTTTTAATTTAATTTTTATATATATATAAAAAAAAAAAAAAAAAAAAAAAAAAAAAAAAAAAGTAATATTGTAGATGTTTAGAAAATTTAGGAGGTAAAACAATTAATGATAGACTTTGGTCGAGATAATGAAAATTTAATCTGAATATTTCTTTTATTGTATTTATTTTGTATTTGATATATATTTTTTTGTAACATGTCATGCTTTATTATTTATTAATATTTTAAATTAAAATTTTTTGGAATGTATTGAGTTTACTGTTATTACGCGTGTGTTTTATTATATTATTTATAATTATTCGATCTGGGTTGTTAATATGAATTAAATTTGGATCATAATAATAATAATAATGTGCAAAGACATTAGTCCCCCAAAACATCAAAGATCCCTGGTCTTCGTACGTAAGATTCTCTTGAAGTCGGTTTGCTTATGTTAATGTTTCCGAATTATCTCTAATTTTAACCAAATTATTTATTTATTTTTTTACATAGACCTCTTTATAAATCCCTTAACAGTATATGATATTCGATGAAACTATTTTTAAAGATACACATAATCCGTCTCTTTATAAATACTATTAAATTCCATCACATTGACTCCCTTCTCCTTAATTTTATTCAATAATTGGGACTCTTCTTCATTCAATCTTGTTCCAATCATCCGAATCCCGAGCGATCTTAAATGATGATTACTCCTTTCAGCGTAATCCAAGACAGCCTTCAGATTATATAAATTAATATAATCATTTAAATTAATGGTGACCAAATACCCATGACAATTATCTAATAAGATCTTAAAATAAGAGGAATGAAAAAGGGTAATGCTATGAAAAGAGATTTCCTCAACACTTGTAGGCAAAGAATTTGCCAAACTTATGAACCAATCACCCATGTTATTATTATTTATAAAGATCTGTATATTTAGGATTTTGATATTAAGATTTTTTAGGTAAGGAAATATTGATATGTCAGTGTTTGTTTCAATTTTGATTTCTAAAGTAGATAGATTTAAACAATAATTCGATATAGTTTGAATGATTTGAATCGTTGTTTTGTCAGATACTAATAACCTTTGTAATGAAATACCTAAATATTTTATCATTGAAATGGTAATATTTGATTTCCAACTATTATATTGAAGGATTAACTCTTTAAGGTTGAATGAAGCAAATTTTAAAATTTCACAATTCTCCAATGAAATCTCTTTACAGCCATAAAATTTCAAATATTTTAAATTAGAAAGATCTATAAAGTCCTTAAAAGAAGCATGTGAAAAGTTTGTGTACGAGAATTCGAAATAGGTCAAGGAAAATCTTTGAAATTCCAATGATAAAAAGATATCATCCAGTATGAAATCACAATGGGATAATTTGATTATGTTTAAATGTTGTTGTTGTTGAATGATGGAACAAAGCTTCCCCGTAAGTGTTTCTAAAGGGTAACTCTTGTATAATGAAAGTTCCAACTTCCTCAGGTTCAAACAATTATTCTCAATACTATTTAAAAATTCTAAGACCACCTCATTATTAATCTCATTAAAATTTTTTAGATTTAAGCAAGTTAATTTTAATAAATTTGAGGAGAAATTTTTAATAAATTGAATATTAAAATTCTCCTTTTCGAATTGAATCAATGAGATATTTAATTGTTTGATGTTAACACATTGATTCAACATTGATTGATGAAAGGTTGAAATGAAATTATCAAGCATCCCTTTACGTTGATAATCGATTAGGTTCAAATGACGGTTAAACCAATTAAATATGATCAAATTTATAATGGTATCATTATAAATCTCTATGTACTTTGTGTAATCGAATAATGGTTTATATTCTATATTAATCTTTATGTTTTGAACATTAATAAAATTTAATTGATTTCTTAATTGCACGATTTCTGCCTTGTTAAGGCATGTAATTAATGTCATGATTATTGAGTAATTGTGACGTTTATCTATGGTCTCAAAGGGACTCATGTAAAGTAATGGAACCGTCACTTTACACCAGAATCGGTTGACCAACAAACATTCGAACAACGTTGAGTGATTATTTTGTAGGTGCTTCAAAATGTAATAAATGCAATCATCTGGTAAATGCGGTGTGGTCATTTTAAGAAAGGAAAGGAACAGAATTAATTTTTTTTTTTTTTTTTTTTTCACGATGCTAAATTTATCATTTCCGGAGCAAATCGAGGGGTGTTCCGTGTAAATCATCATCACCGGGACAATTTTTGCATGAATTATGTTTACGGTTCTGATTGGGCAGGTTAAAACATCCGCTGACTGTTGTAAGAAATATGGTTGGCGATTACATTTGAAGTGTGTGTTTTCATCTAGCAAATATTGAAAATATTAAATCATTACTAAAACATTCGTATTAATTTTTGATCATTCGATCGTACACACTATTAGTTGCTAATTCGTCGCCCATATCCTTTTATTGCTTATTTGACTTTAGTAGGTAAATTGATCAAATTTACGTGGTGAGTTCTAGAATCGACTCAGCCAGTCGTTAAATCTTTCCCGGTGACTAAGTCATGACTCAGGTAAAATAATTGCTCGATTTTTTAATGGAAGTGAAAGAAGGTTACGTAATCTCTCGGATAGAGATGATTCCACAATTTTGAATGAGTCATTTATTTACTTACGCGAACATACATGTAATTTTCAGAGAATTAGCAATCTTTAACTTATAAAAATAAAGCAGAATTAACAGCTAATGAATTATAAATTTAGTTTTATACCGGCAAAACAATTCTAATAAGCTGATGTCAAGAAAATAAATAGCTTAAAGAAAGACGTCAGCACCACCAATATTCTAATCCTGCAGATCCGCATAAATTTTTTTGATGATAAAATAATATTTAATTAACCTATAATTATTTTTTTTTCTTTTAAAAAAAAAAAAATTAAATTTTTATTTTTTTTAAAAAAAAAAAAAAAATAGGATGAGCTTGTCGCATTACTCAAACTTTTTAAATAAAAAAATCTCTGATAGTTAGGTCGACCCAAGACTTTTATCATAAACTTGTTTGCGATCGTTTACAAGGTTAACCGAATATATAGAAGTGTACAATAGACAATTTTTTTTC